TGGATAAGATAGTTAATTAATTACCATCTTTTTTAAAAGCTTCGATGAAATCTTTAGAGCATTTATTTGCGGGAGACTTAACGTTAATGAAGTCGACCTTTCCATTAAGTACACATCTTACATGAAATTTTTCATCGATCATCAGGAAGTAACCGATCAGATAGTCGAAGATCTCTGTATCTATGATGTCATGGCGAATCTTGTCGAACTCGACGGTCCACGCCACGCGGCTACCGTTGTTGTGTTCCTTAGGCGTTACAATGAAGGTTGCTTTGAACGTCTTGTAGATTTAAGAGACCCAATTTCCATGCATGGTCATGGTCAATGTTCTTTTCTCCAAATCACTCGACTCCAACCGGATCCTTACCTCCATCGGCAAAAAGGGTACTATAGTGAAACATACCATTTAATTAAGGGTTTTGATCGATGGTTCAATTAAAAAAATATATGTATGAAAGAAATTTGGAAGAGTTAATGATTTACCCCTCTCAAATTGGTTAGGAGTTTCGCTGATGAAATAGTTAACGTATCCGTCCGCCGGAGATTTAATTTGAAACTCACCAGAAGATAAATCATTTTTAGTGCCATTCTCTATTTTTTTTTTTTTTTAACTGATAAATGTAAATATGTGTTTCGGGTTTGATTAATATGATTCCTTTCGATGAAGGTGTTTATATTTATAGCAAGAGTTTGATGAAACTTTCATTAACTAGTTTTACCTAACCCCACCCCACTCATCATCTTACTCGATCTCTCTTTTTTCGCCATTTCGAATCTTTCTAAATATAACCAAAACCCCACTCAATTAATTAATTCATGAGGCATATGGGAGTATAGAAAAATCAAATTGAAATCACCAATTAACTCTAAAACAAAGCGAAGTGGACATATCAATGAATTTGGTATTTGATGTATATCATTGTATCAAGTTATTTGTAATTGTTCGGTTGTTACAAAAATATGTATTCATCAAATTTTCTTCGGAAGTTATGTACAAACTTTTAAAAATTAATGGAACGCTAGATGTAAAAAAAAAAAAAACCCACAAATTTTAGGAATTTTCATTAATTGTATTTCCTGATTTATCTTTTTCTAAAATTAGTTATTAGTTATTTAAATTTTTTAAAAATATTCGAAACAGATTTTCTTCTTCGACAATAAAGCCACGATCCTCCTCAATTTTCCTTTTTTCGTAAATTTTTGTTTTAATTAATTAATAAATACAAATTATAAGTTTAACTCCCCAAACCACGATCTGATCTTCGTTCCAACTTCCACTATCTTTTGTTCCCAGATTTAATTTATCTCCTTCAAAACTATGGCTTTCTTCCTCAACGTTCTCACTATCTACAGTTTATTGATTTAAATGATCCAAATATTTCCCAACTACAAAAAAGTGTAACAACGAATTTAATTATCTAACTCTCTCCACACCATTTCTATGTACCCTATATTAATTACTCTGTCTCTCTATTAAAATCGTTTTTTCTAGAAACAATAGCACTCTTACGGCGAAAGAGTCGATGTTAAAGGATTTTCGTTGGTAAAATTTATATATTTCTGTGAATATGTTCTTCTTCTATTTGCATCCTCTGGTACAAGCATTTCTTTCGCAATCAATTTCTCATATATACAAAATCGTTTCCATAATCTTCATTATTAATCGATTTTTTGTCTTGTCCTTAGTGTTTTTCTCCA